ATGAGGTGAAGTTGTCCTGTCCCCTTAGCAGAAAAACACCCCTAAAGCATAATGTTTCCACCTCCATGTTTGACGGTGGGGATGGTGTTCTTGGGGTCATAGGCAGCATTCCTCCTCCTCCAAACACGGCGAGTTGAGTTGATGCCAAAGAGCTCGATTTTGGTCTCATCTGACCACAACACTTTCACCCAGTTCTCCTCTGAATCATTCAGATGTTCATTGGCAAACTTCAGATGGCCCTGTATATGTGCTTTCTTGAGCAGGGGGACCTTGCGGGCGCTGCAGGATTTCAGTCCTTCATGGCGTAGTGTGTTACCAATTGTTTTCTTGGTGACTGTGGTCCCAGCTGTCTTGAGATCATTGACAAGATCCTCCCGTGTAGTTCTGGGCTGATTCCTCACCGTTCTCATGATCATTGCAACTCCACGAGGTGTGATCTTGCATGGAGCCCCAGGCTGAGGGAGATTGACAGGTCTTTTGTGTTTCTTCCATTTGCGAATAATCGCACCAACTGTTGTCACCTTCTCACCAAGCTGCTTGGCGATGGTCTTGTAGCCCATTCCAGCCTTGTGTAGGTCTATAATCTTGTCCCTGACATTCTTGGAGATCTCTTTGGTCTTGGCCATGGTGGAGAGTTTGGAATCTGATTGATTGTTTTCTTCTGTGGACAGGTGTCTTTTATACAGGTAACAAGCTGAGATTAGGAGCACTCCCTTTAAGAGTGTGTTCCTAATCTCAGCTCGTTACCTGTATAAAAGACACCTGGGAGCCAGAAATCTTTCTGCTTGAGAGGGGGTCAAATACTTATTTCCCTCATTAAAATGCAAATCAATTTATAACATTTTTGACATGCGTTTTTCTGGATTTTGTTGTTGTTATTCTGTCTCTCACTGTTCAAATAAACCTACCATTAAAATGATAGACTGATCATTTCTTTGTCAGTGGGCAAACATACAAAATCAGCAGGGGATCAAATACCTTTTTCCCTCACTGTATGGTCAAGGTGGGAGGGGGGCTCATTAGGCCAGTCTGGGTGAGGTGGGGCATTTGACAAGGATGCCCTATATCGGGGTAGTTATATACACTAGCCATTGAGCCTTTTTTTTGGGAGACTGCGGGTAGTGTGCTGGACAGACGTTTACAGGCATAGCAGTGTTGGCGTATGCAGATGACATCTCTGTGATGGTCAGGGATGGACAGGACATGCAGGCACTAGAGACTAGTCTGAAGGTGTATGAGGGAGTTTCGTCAGCTAAGGTGAACTGGGTTAAGAGCGAAGCTCTGTTATGTGGGGCTTCCAGGGGGTTTGCAATGGGGTTGTGAAGGGCTTAACATTTTGGGGGTGTACCTGGGCTCGGAGAGGTGGCTCAGGAAGAACTGGGACGGGCTGTCACAGGCAGTGGTGTCAAGACTGGCCAGGTGGAGGTGGCTACTGTCCCAAGTGTCATATAGAGGGAGGGTGCTGATAATCAACAACCTGGGTTGATCCTCCCTGTGGCATAAACTGTCTGTCCTCAACCACCCCGCCGGTCTGCTCGCAGACCTGCAACGCAAGCTGGTGGATTTTTTCTGGTCGGGCCATCACTGGCTGAGGGCGGCAGTGTTGTACATGTCCGTCCACAAAGGAGGACAGGGCCTGGTGGAACTGGAGAGAAGGTTCACAGAGACTGCTGTACCATACGGATGTCGGCTGGAGGGAACCAGCATGCGCGCTGCTGAGGAGAGCTGGCGGATTAGGGTTGGACCGGCAGTTGTTCCTCATGAGGCTGGAGAGGCTGAGTACAGCAGGTCTCTCTGACCTTTACTCTGCGGTGCTGAGGGCCTGGCAGCTGCTAAGGCCAACACCAGAAGGGTGTGTGGCGCCTGGGCTGTGGGTGTGGGAGGAGCCTGTCTTACACAACCCAGCCATCCTTTTGAGATCAGTTCATTCGGCCACCCTGCAGAGGCGACTGATGGCAGCGGGTTTACTAAGGCTGGGTGACCTGTGGCTGCTGGGGGAAGAGGGGTGGAAAACCCTGGAAGTCCTGGCACAACAAACAGGACTAACATCTCTTAGGCTGCTGGAGAGATTCCTGGGGGAGGTCCAGGAGGCACTGTCTGAGCCGGTAAGGGGGGTGTTTGAGCAGTCAAAGGGGGAGGGGCCGCCAATGTTTCCGCCACTGCAGGTGACGGCAGAGACTGTGGACTGGGGGTCTGGAGGACTTCTTAGATTTTAACACTCCGGGCCTGTGGGCGTTTGAGGCGGTGGGAGGTAAAGCCCTCTACAACCTCTGCATTAAGGTGAGGAACATTAGGAGCCTAACAAGAGTGAAGGCACATCAGTGGCAAGGGGAATGTGTTTTCTGTGTGCGCCAAGTTAATGCCATTACTGTCTCTGTTGGAATGTCTGTGTGTGAGGTTGGGGGTTGAGTTTACTGTCGGGATGTTTATAATGGGGCACAGGTATTCGAATAAGGAAATGGCCAAACTTCGTTTGCTCAGGCGAAGTTGGCTATTTGGCTAACAAGGAGGAACAGGGTCAAAGGTGGAGGGATAACAGACCCTTTACTATTATTTAATGGGATGGTCTCTGCTCACCTTATGGTGGAATTTGAGTTCCATAAAATGATAAACAGTGTGGAGATGTTTCAGTAGGTATGGTGTGTCGGGGGGTGTAGAAGTGGTGAGGTTTTGGTTATTGTGATGTGTGGTGTTGTTTTGTATCGTGGGGTAGAGGGCAAGGTGAGTATGCAGCACAGGGGCTATTTGTTTTTAAAGGGGTGGGGGGGTGGTGAGGTTTTAATGAAATTAAATGAAATGAGGATGTATCATTAAAGAAAGCTAAAAGGTCAAAAGAGTCTCTCTCTCCCTTTGCAATGCCTTTCTCCTTCACTCTCTATCTGTTTGTAAGTCATGTCTGTGTTGTTTGTTTACTAGAGTCTCTGCACTAGACATCTCATTAATGTGATGGATTTCTCAGCAGTACACAACACCAGGGAACACAACGGCATGGCGTGTCATTCTCATAATGCCGACTTAGCCTGTCCTTGGTTGACACACTACAGGGGGGCACACAATATGACAGGGAACACAATCTGACATAACTGCTGATATCTGTGGGGGTTTGACAACAAAACAAACACCATGCTGTAACCTGCTCCTCCAATCGATGTTGACAGTAATGCATATGTCTGTATTGAGCACAGGCTACTTTTAGAAACATCCTAGCCTCCTGTCGACACACACACACGCATGCGCACACGCATGCACACACACACACACCCACACAAACACACACACAGAGCTCAGGAGGAACGTTTATTAGAGATGATTCTTCTCATGGATGTATTGATGAGGTGTCATCTACTAAGCCAGGGAGGAGAGGAGAGAGAGGGAACGAGAGATTATTTAATAATAATTACTGAACAAATGAACATGCACAATGTAATCATGTATGTAAAAGTGTGTCAAATATGTAAGTTGAAAACATTGTATGTTAAAAGCACTGTTTGTGTGTGTGGGTATCCCTAACCTTGCCAACAGACAAAGAGCTGTAAATGGATCAGTGGTTCACCAATCAGGGCCTTGATGGGCTTGGCAACAGCCAGGGCGGTGTGTAAAGAAACACATCTTTTTTCAGAGAACGTTTCTTTGGGAACATCAAGCAACGTCCTAAAAACTTATTTAGGGACATCCCCGGAACAAGCTGGGTACTAAACAAAAACCTCTGGCGGACCATGATAGAACGTCCTATGTTTTAACCGTTATTGGACACAGTAATGTTCTTGCAACATCTCCATGAAATGTGTCTAGAATATTAATATCTTATATTCTGAGAACATGCATGTCAATCATGTTCTGGGTATGTTTGGTGTGACGTTAATGGAATATTCTCCTAACCCTCAGAAAACTGGACACATGAATGTTCTTGCAACGTTCCCATGAAACATGTCTAGAACATTAATATTGAATATTCTGAGAACATGGTAACCATGACATTAACCTTTTAAGGATCCGACCCTTCTTTTCAATTTCCGCCTAAAATGACATACCCAAATCTAACTGCCTGTAGCTCAGCACCTGAAGCACGGATATGCATATTCTTGGTACTATTTGAAAGGAAACACTTTGAAGTTTGTGGAAATGTGAAATTAATGTAGGAGAACAAGATCTGGTAAAAGATAAAAACAAAAAAACATACGTTTTCTATTTTTATTTTTGTTGCATCATATTTGACATGAAAAAGAAGAGCAATACATTCAGATAGGAAGCTGGAGGTAATGTAGATGTTGTCTACAAGAGGGAAACAGTATATGTGAAAAGTTTCAGACTGACACCTTTAAGAATGAGGGAGCTACATAACATTTAGTATGAAGTCACCCAGGTGTCCCTCACGAGTTTGCCCAAATGTACCTCCAGTGGCCTCCAAGTGGGCGAATTGGTGAATTGGTAAAATAGAGAACATACAGAAATGCTATGGTAATAAAAAATACAAGTTTACACACTCCCAGGAATGTCATACATGATGGATCATTATCTGCCCTACATAAAAGGTACTAACAGGAAACGCGATGAGAATGCTGATCCAATGCCTCCTAACACAGAAGTGAACTATTTAAGATAAGGGCCAAGTTAGCAGCCAACACTGATCTAATGTCATAAGTGAACACACCACAAACCACACACAAAGTGAAAACAAATATATATATACTATTTACACACTACTTACAATTACAGTATTTAGAACACCCTCAGTCCTCTACACATAATTGTGCTGCTGATGCCAAGACCCATTGCAGTCTCTTTCTGCTGTAAAGCTCAACTGGTAGAGCACGGCGCTTGTAACGCCAAGGTAGTGGGTTCGATCCCCGGGACCACCCATACACAAAAATGTATGCACACATGACTGTAAGTCGCTTTGGATAAAAGCGTCTGCTAAATGGCATATTATTATTATTATTATTATTATTAACAGAACAAGTAGTGCAGGTGATGGGAGCTTTCTTGTGACACAGATTACAATGACGCCTCCCAGCTGTGCCCTTTTGGCCCTGAGGCACATTCATGTCTGCAGTTATGTATTTTGGCAGGTGAACACCACTGGTGGCAGGAGTAGAGGGGACAAAGGTAGAGGGGACAGAAGGTGCTGCAGTGGACTTTGTGCCGTAGTCAGCAAGCTCCTGGATGAGCAGCTCTCTGTCCACAGCTCTTAGCCATTTCCTTCTGGAGGATAAATGCATTCACCACAACAATGTCGATGAAGTGATAGAACAATGTCTTGTACCATTTCATCGTCTTGTGGAGAACATTGTAGTAGCCTATCAGCGCATCTGACAGGTACACACCTCCCATGCTCTTGTTGTAATCCTTTACAGCAGCTGGAATGGGGATATTTTTCTTGGTCCATGCCCCATTAGCGTCCTTCACATGCCTGCTGACGTGATCGCCACTGTACGATTTGTGGACAGTGGTGCACATGACCACCTCTCTGGTATCCATCCACTTCACAAAGAGCAGGCCATCTTTACGAATCCATCGCATGGCACCCCTATCAGCCCACTTAGGCATGTCGTTTACTTTTGTTTTGGGAAAACCCACTGTTGGGACGAATGGTGCCACAAGATCATGCATTCAGCTTCCTCAGGTCTGTAAACAGGGTAGGGCTTGTGTAAAAGTTATCCACAAACAGTTTGTAGCCCGTCCCCAGCAGTGCAAAATCCAATAATTCAAATAATAACGGAATCATAACTAAGTCCCTTACCGGTGGCTGAGATGGATTTCCCCTCGTAAACAAAAAAATTCCAAGTGTAGGCACACACATAATCGGCCAAAACAAACAGTTTTTAACCCCATTTTGTTGGCTTGTTATGCATATATTGTTTGAGGCCAATTCTAGACTTTGAGGCTACCATCCTCTCATCTATGGACAGGTTCTGGGCGGGCTGAAAATGGGTCTTGCAGGCCTCAACCATGCTGGAGTAGAGAGGTTTGATTTTGCAGAGCCTACCAAAGCTTCTTCTTCTCATTGTCGTCGTCAGCTTGTGGGTCACTGATATGAAGCGCCCGCGAGATAGTAAGAAATCTGGTAGAAGACATGACAGTGGTGGGAAAAGGCAGTTGGTAGAGTGTTGATGTTCTCCAGTAGTCCTTCAGGTTCTTCAACTTCACAAGCCCCATGTAAATGACCAGTGAGATGTAACAGCATTGGTCTTGGATAGAAATGGGCTTCCATGCCTCTTTCTTTCCTGCTTGCTTCTTCGCCCCATAATTGTTGGTGTTAGACACCAGCAAACCAAGAACTGACAAGGAGAAAAACATCTGGAAAAGAAGAAGGAAGCTGTACTCTCCAGTCATGTCCAGCTGAGGTCCTGGCTGCCTTTTCTGTCTAAATGTTGGTGGAAGTGGCTCCACGTCATCCTCTAGCACAGTGTGCCAACGGTCCAACGATCCTCCGCTTCTTTTCTGGCCTCTTTACACCTCTAGATGGCTGGGCGGGGGTGGGTGTGGAGCCAGAGACAGCAGCAGGGGTCAGACTGAATGAAACCGTTTCTACATTTGAATGAGTGGGGGATGGAGGACTTGAATGTGGTCTCTTTGGAGTTGGCCCCAAGAGGTCATCTGAGTCAGAGTCTTTACCACTATTTAAGATTTTTTTTTTTATCAGTAAGAACTCAAGTTTATTATGACTTATTTTATTATTACCTTTATTTTAGCAGGGGGTGAGCCCTGCATCAATACTTTAAGTTCATTATCCTCTGCCTCAGAAATTGCAGCCCAAATAAATGCTTCACAGTGTTCAAGTAACAGACACATCTCAACATCAACTGTTCAGAGGGGACTGTGTGAATCAAGCTTTCATGGTCAAATTTCTGTAAAGAAACCACTACTAAAGGACACCAATAAGAAGAAGAGACTTGCTTGGGCCAAAAACACGAGCAATGGATATTAGATCGATGGACATTTTTCCTTTAGTCTGGAGTCCAAATTAGAGATTTGTGGTTCCAACCGCCGTGTCTTTGTGAACGGATGATCTCCACATGTGTATTTCCCACCGTAAAGCATGAAGGAGGAGGTGTTATGGTGTGGGGGTGCTTTGCTGGTGACACTGTCTTTGATTTATTTAGAATTCAAGGCACACTTAACCAGCATGGCTACCACAGCATCAGATGACCTGGCCTCCACAATCCCCTGACCTCAACCCAATTGAGATGGTTTGGGATGAGTCAGACCGCAGAGTGAATGAAAAGCAGCCAACAGGTGCTCATCATATGTGGGAACTCCTTCAAGACTGTTGGAAAAGCATTCCAGGTGAAGCTGGTTGAGATAATGCCAAGAGTGTGCAAAGCTTTCATCAAGGCAAAGGGTGTCTTTTTGAAGAATCTCAAATAGAAAATATATTTTGATTTGTTTAACACTTTTGGGGTTACTACATGATATGTGTTATTTCATAGTTTTGATGTCTTCACTATTATTCTACAATTTAGAAAATAGTAAAAATAAAGAAAAACCCTTGAATCAGTAGGTGTTCTAAAACCTTTGACCGGTAGTGTATCTATAAACATATATATATATATATATATATATATATATATACATTATATAGAGTTTGTGGAACAAAATCATTATTATGAAAAAGTGTACGAATAGTAAATAAGACACTCGAAAACCACAGCGACAGCATGACATAGTCAACATAAAATACACAGGCTATACATTGTAGGTCTCTCTATGTATATATTTATATACAAAAGCCATGAGCTATCCTCCCCTCACCAGCCTCCACTGGCTTTACCTCCCCTGCACTCGCTTTTTTATATATTTACAGACCTACAACGTATTAGCATAGCCAATGTGTATTTTATGTCGACCATCACATGCTGTGGCTTTGGTCCTTGAGCGTCTCATTCACTATTGGTAAATATATTTCACCACAGTGATATACAGCTCTGGAAAAAGTTAAGAGACCACTGCAAATGTTTCTTACATCAGCATCTCTACATGTATGACAGCCATTCCATTCCAGTGTCTGTTGAATTCCAACACAGGCACACCTCATTCTACTGAATTAGGTACTGATTAGGTGATCACATGAACCAAATCTTATTTAATGAGGAAAAGTATAAAAACCACTGCTGTGGTCATCCCTATCCTCTTGCAATAGGATCAGCTGGATGGCAAAAACAGTGCTAATAGTACCTCAAAAGTAATATTAATCAAAAAATAACTATTGACCATGCCAAAAGAGTTGAAAAGGAAAGTTTTGAGTGAGGAAAAGAAGGGTTCAATTCTGGCTTTACTGGCAGAGGGATACAGTGAGTGTCAGGTTGCTTCCATCCTTCAAATTTCAAAGACGGTGGTTCATAAGAACAAGGTCAAGCAGCAGACATTGGGGACAACAAAGCTACAGACCGGCAGAGGGCGAAAACGACTCTCTACTGACCGGGATGACCGCCAACTCATTCGAATGTCACTCAACAACCATAGGATGACATCAAGTGACCTACAAAAAGAATGGCAAACGGCAGCTGGGGTGAAGTGCACGGCGAGGACGGTTCGATACAGGCTCCTAGGGGCAGGGCTGAAGTCGTGCAAAGCTAGAAAAAAGCCCTTCACCAATGAGAAGCAAAGAAGAGCCAGGCTGAGGTTTGCAAAAGACCATAAGGATTGGACCGTAGAGGACTGGAGTAAGGTCATCTTCTCTGATGAGTCCAATTTTCAGCTTTGCCCGACACCTGGTCGTCTAATGGTTAGACGGAGACCTGGAGAGGCCTACAAGCCACAGTGTCTCGCACCCACTGTGAAATTTGGTGGAGGATCGGTGATGATCTGGGGGTGCTTCAGCAAGGCTGGAATCGGGCAGATTTGTCTTTGTGAAGGACGCATGAATCAAGCCACGTACAAGGTTGTCCTGGAAGAAAACTTGCTTCCTTTTGCTCTGACATTGTTCCCCAACTCTGAGGATTGTTTTTTCCAGCAGGACAATGCGCCATGCCACACAGCCAGGTCAATCAAGGTGTGGATGGAGGATCACCAGATCCTGTCATGGCCAGCCCAATCTCCAGACCTGAACCCCATTGAAAACTTCTGGAATGTGATCAAGAGGAAGATGGATGGTCACAAGCCATCTTCCAAATGATAGGACAAAGATACAGTCAATCAAGTGAACACCGCCCATCTCATTGGTGTGTAATGAGATCAGCCCTTGGTGGACAAAAATAACTTTTGTGCAGCCTATATGTCATGCAGAATGCTGATAAAAATTTGGTTGCCTTCTTGAGTATCTGAGGATAGCAGAAAAACAGAACTTGACCGGGTGAAACAAGGTGTAGCATTTATTGTACGTCGAAATGCTTTGTTGCAAGTTGAACAAGTCAGAATTAAGGCGGAACACTGTATACAACATGGATCATGTTAGGATACAAAAATTGATTTTATCAAACAAAACTACACTGGATTTTATCTCTGGGACCCTCAGGATGACAAATCAGAGCAAGATTACTGAATGTAAGTACATTATTTACCTTCAGATGTGAATGTATCAAACCTGTCGCCGTGATTAAAGTGTTTTGATGTTGTGCACTATCCTCAAACCATAGCATGGTATTTTATCGCTGTAATAGCTACTGTAAATTGGACACCACAGTTAAATTAACAATTCATGTCTATGCTCGGGAAAGTTTGCTTTTGTATACAACGTCATTCTAGTCACATTGTCTGTACTGAGCAAGAACTGTCCCGATTATGGGACACCGATGCAGTAGAGGTTAAGGGAATGGTCTCTTGGAAACAGTCCTTGCACATCATTGGAACATTCCTATGAAAATGATATGTAATGACCTAATGAGGCTTTTAAGGGAACGTTCTCTAAAGTTGTGAGAACGTTTGTTGTTAGCTGGGTAAGGTCTGATGACATTATGAGTGTCGTCAGGGAGAGAACGACAGAATGAGAGGAGAGGAAAAAAAAAACTACTTTATAACCCTCCAGCACCTCTTTTCTCCTGCAGTACTCTTCACCTCATTCTATCTGTCAGCTGGTAAATTGGCCTCGCAGATGTGTTCTCTAGTTGTATAATCAGCTCTCCTCCCTCTTCTCCTCCTCCCTCTCTCTTGTCCTCTCCTCTCCTCTTCTCCTCTGCTCCCTCTTCTGGTGTTCTTCCATTCTCTCCTCTGATATCCTCCTTCTCTCATCTCCTCCCTCTCTCCTCTCCACCCCTTCTTACCCCTCCTCTTTACCACTCTATACCCCTCCTCCCCAAACATCCCCAGTCATCAATACACAGTTATACACAGGGCCGAAGCCAAAGCTATTGATGTGGTATAAAAAAGCCAAAGGCTCCACAGTGATGACTATAAACACACACACACGCTCACATACACACACACACACACACACACACACACACACACACACACACACACACACACACACATAAACACAAGCACACACTGTTGCTATTTAATTCACTAGGCAGTGGTGGAAAAAGTACCCAATTGTCATACTTCAGTAAAAGTAAAGATACCTTAATAGAAAATGACTCAAGTAAAAGTGAAAGTCACCCAGTAAAATACTACTTGAGTAAAAGACTAAAAGTATTTGGTTTTAAATATACTTAAGTATCAAAAGTAAAAGTACAAGTATAAATCATTGAAAATTGCTTATATTAAGCAAACCAGATGGCACAATTTTCTGGTTTTTGAAATTTACGGATAGTCAGGGGCACACCACAACATGCAGGCATTTATGTTTAGTGAGTCCTCCAGATCAGAGGCAGTAGGGATGACCAGGGATGTTCTCTTGATAAGTGTGTGAATTGGACAATTTTCCTGTCCTGCTAAGAATTCAAAATGTAACAAGTACTTTTGGGTATCAGGGAAAATGTATGGAGTAAAAAGTACATTCTTTTCTTTAGGAATGTAGTGAAGTAAAAGTAAAAGTTGTCAAAAAAAAAAAAGGAAAGTAAAGTACAGATACCCCAAAAAACTACTTAAGTAGTACTTTAAAGTATTTTTTCTTAAGTACTTTACACCACTGCCACTAGGCAAGGTGAGGAGAGGAGTGACACAGTCTCAGTGAACTAATAAACATCACCTCCAGAGAGTTAATCTAACTAGTGCTAAACAACACACACAGCTCTCATTTAGCCCTATCGCCTACCTCTCTAATCCTCCATACAGTAATGCTGTTATCAAATACACTCACTCATCTGTCAGGATGAGGTCCGAGTGCAGAGTGGAGTGGGAGGCGGGGGAGGGGACACACAGACACAACAAACACACATATAAAGACCATCAGAAAGCTGTGTACACGCAAGCACACACACACACACACACACACACACACACACACACACACA